CCCCCCCCCCCCCCCCCCCCCAGGCCCTGCATACCCACACATCTTGAAATCCCATCAAACCCGCTCCCAACTCGAGCTGGGAAGCACCGAACCAGGAAGGGAACGTATCCGTGGCACTGCCCCGGGCCTCAGTTTCTCCCACCCACCCCGTCTGGCCCCGGCCTCACTGTCCCCATCCACCCCCCGTCTTGGGCCCCCCGAAGGAAAAGTTTTGCTGCTGGATGTCCCAGACAGCAGAGCGAGGGCTGGGACAAGCTGCAGAGCTTAGCACAACCCCACACAGGGACTGACCAATCCCCAGCCCTCCCACCAAGGGGGCTAGAACCCAGCTCCTCTTGCTCAGACCCCCTGACTCTCGAGCTAAAGCAGAATCCCCATTGACTGGGAGCAGTAGAGAGCATCTGACACGCAGCAGCGGCCCTGGTGCCATCCAGCAGAGGGCAGTGGTTACACATGCACTGTCCAAAGCTTGGCTGGCTACACAGACTCACTCCCGTCTAGAGGTTTGCTTACCGGTTATCACTGTCCCCAGCCCCCGAAGGATCGACATCTTCAGCAGACACGTGAGGCATCCTTTATAGCCCAGCAGCTGTAACTAACCCATCAGCAGAGGCGGCTTGCTCAGAAACCCGTGTCCCAGGATGCATTTAGGTGCCAGATCCCTCTGCAAGCAGGAGACAACTTTGTAATGGGGGGGGGGGGGCATAAAGGGCCATTGTGGGGGGGTGTTGCCCCCCTGCCTGCTGCAGTGTTACTCTCACTCGCATTACCCCCTTCAGCCGCTAGGTGTCTCTCTATGCAGCACAGAGGTCCCAGCAGGGGCCTGTCCCCTGGTTAACAAGAGAGACAAAGCTGGCCCGCGAGCTGTGTTGGGGTATGTCACTGGGGGTCAGTTCTCCTCAACGCACACCTCCTGTTTCCGGAGGACCGTGATTCCGCGTGGCGCTACCACTGCCCACGGGCGGGATAACAGCCTCGTAGGATCGGACCTGGCCTGACACTTTACGGTCCTAGGCATTGGCTATTCAGCCTGGGAGCGCCTCCAGGCAGGGCCTAGCTCTTCCTGGGGTGCAATGGGGGTCCCCACTTCCAGCGGGGGCCTCTAAGTGCTACAGACACATACATCAAATAGGGGATGGACGTCTCTGGAGACCGGAGTCCTTTGTTGGTCGCTGGAGCGGAAGCTCCCCCCGACACAGAGCCAACACCCCTCAGCCTTGCCCTGGACAGGACCGCAACTGAGTCCTGGCTCCATGGCCCCTGAGAGCCGCCTGCTCCCCTGAAACTCCCTGGCGTCCCCCTTGGCACATCAATCTCTAGAGTGTGCTTGTAAAGGGTTAACAGCCCCCTCCCGACCCCTCCGTGGGCCCAGTTCTGGAGGGCTCGCTCCCCGGCCAAGCCCGAGGGAGCCTTAACCCCCCACCCCGCCCCTCCCACCTGCAAGCCCATATTCCCAAAGGGGGCCACCGGGCTTCAAAACCAACCCAGCGCTGGTTTCAATCCGCCCAGCGTGTCATTGGGGGAGGCGGAATCATCCCCAGGCTTCGTCACTGGGTAATGGCAACCCCTATTTCAGTTCCTCTGCTCTCCCTGGCATCTGGGTGTGTTCCAGCATCGCCTCCCCCGTGAACGTGAGCCCAGAGAGACTCTGTGGGCATAAGTGAGATCAGGCTCACAAACTGGTTTGTAATTTATTAGGTGCATTATGGTAGCACCAAAAGGCCCCCGACCGAGATCAGGGCCCCAGCGCTGCCCAGACCCCGGCCGAGATCAGGGCCCCGGCGC